GTCATGAGCATCCATTGATCCTCAAAGAAGTGCAAAAAGAGGGTGAAGGTGACGAATGTTTCTGTTATGCATGCGAGAAATTGATCTTGGACTCTGCATATAATTGTGGAGAGTGTTCTTACTTTCTACACAAAAGTTGTGCAGAACTCCCTCGGGAGGTTGAAAACTCCCTACACTCCAAACACCTTCTAACCCTCCATTATGATGATGAGTATATTTGTGATATCTGTAGAGCAAGTGGAAATCGATTCAGCTACAGGTGTCTTCCTTGCGACTTTACTATCTGCATGTCATGTTACCTAGCAGAAGAACGCGTGGTTACAAATGAAGGTCATGAGCACCCTTTAGCCCTCATATTTAGGCCAACCTCTTTCTTTTGTGATGTTTGCCGCATGGAAAGTAAAGATATGTCACATGTATGTTTGACTTGTCAATTCGTGGTCCATAAGAGTTGTCTTTCGTTACCTAAAACTATCAACCGTGGTTATCACCTCACCCTCTCACTCTCGTCTATCAGTATTCTACGTTAACCAATTTTGAACAGTATTGTCGTATTTGCGGACTCTCCATTTCCACCGTCCACTGGACTTATTGTTGTGCTCCGTGTAGATATTTTTTCCACGTGGAATGTTTAATTACAACTCCAGATACTTTGAGATCTTTTTCCACGTGGAATGTTTAATTACAACTCCAGATACTTTGAGGTGAGTTTATTCATTTTATCTTTTATATTAAAATATTTGTTGTAGCCTATCAAATATTGAAATTTGATATTAATTTAATGGTTACAATAAAATTACATCAATAGATCAACAAATTATGTTAAATTTTTAAAACTAAATAGTATTACTCTTTTCTTAGAGCAATATTATTTTTGGATTTAATCTTCTGATCTATTTCATTACAACTATATATTGGATTGATTAAAGTCTCATCAACTATTAGAACTTGATATTAATTCAATGGTTACAATAAAATTACAAGATTAGGCAAACAAATTAGATTAAATTTTTAGGTCTAAATAGCATTACTCATAGTTCCTTGATTTAGGTTAAGGGATTCTTGAATCGTTGGCCTGGAATAGGTATAAATAGAAGAAAATAGATTGATAACTATTATTAGAGATAAATTATGTCCTCGATGGATCATTAATTTTTTCTGGTATATGAAATAGAGGATTTCTCTAAGTTGATTATTAGGAAATCTCGAATGAAAACTTTTGTCTTTATTTCAATAAAGGGAACACGGGTTTTTTTTGTTAGAAGAATTTTATTTATCTTTCTTAATGTCAAGTAAATGTTTTGTTTGAAATTTTGTAGTAATGAGAATGAAGTTGATCAATCAATCGACCCTAATCTGTTGCACTTACCGGTGACCAATGGTTCCTTAGAACTGTTTAGACAATATGCTAAACAAATCAATCTTGAAGATATTGAGAGAGAGGCAGAGCTCATCCATTGGAGTCATGAGCATCCACTAATCCTTTTTGATGTGCAAAAGGACGATGATATCAAAGATGAGATTACGTTATGTGATGGTTGCGTGCAACCAATATCATTTCCATTTTACTGTTGTAGTCAATGCAACTATTTTCTCCATTTAAGTTGTGTCAACTTACCACGGGAATTGCGGCACCCAATTCACCATGAACTCCCAATGGTACTTTGTCAGGTTATGAAATTCTACAAGACCTTCTTGTGCGATGCTTGCTGGGTATGGACAAATGGATTTTACTACAACTGTGAAACATGTAAATTCATCCTTGATGTCAAATGTGCTTTCCTACCTACTTCGATTGCACATCAAGCTCACAAGAATCCATTGGTTCAAATGAAAGGTTCAAAACATCTCTGCAATGGAAGTGGTTTCAGCTTCTCTACAAGCGGATTTAAATGTGATGATTGCAGGTTCAAAATATCTCACGACAGTGCTCTACTCCCAGGTACCATCAGGCATAGATTGGACAAACATCCCCTAATCCTGTGTTATCCTCCATTTTTTGAGCATGTTGATGAGTTTCACTGTGAAATATGTGAGAGAGAAATGAATCCCAGCTATTGGCTCTATTATTGTAGTGATTGCGATCAATCGTTTCATCTTTTATGCATTAAAGATTACTATTCAAACGTCAAGTATGGAGGTACCATTGAAGTTAATTGTCATCCACACTCTCTGGCATTTGTACGAAAGGCAAGGAAGAGGTTCTCGTATTGCAGTTGTGGTCATTCTTATGTTAGAGTTATCTTTGTTCATACTGATATTGATATTGAGTGTCCCATATTCGAATGTGGAGAGTGTAATTATACATTGTGCTTAGATTGTATCTGAGTTCTAATGGTTGAGTGGATCATGAAATTGTATTATTGGTTAAGCAATGTTGTCGTCCACCCTTAAAAGAGGATAATGCTTCAACAAAGAAGAGCACAATGAATAATTTGATCTCTCTCCTCGCCCTTCCTCCCTCCCTCTCCCTGTCAGCGCTCTCTAAATGTACAGACAAATAATGTATATAAAATTGAGGTACAGTTTGAATGTAATCATCTTAAAATGGTTGTCATTTTTCTTTTAAAAACAGTTTTAAACAACATCTAACTGATTTTTTTTTTTTTTTGAACATGAACATGTAATTGAATGCAGGGCCTATATAATGCTTTCATCATTGCGGATCACTCTGAGATGAATAGCAAATAAATACGGGAAAACACCATTCACTCTAGGCTTATCATGATTTTTCATCTAATTCTACCGTTTACGCTTTGGGATTCAAATTCCCTCTATTATCTCTTCCCTTCAATTCCCCTTAATACAGTGTTAGATGAGTGGTACGTGTAAGATTTGAATTTCAATGAATAAGATTTTTTCCTTATGAGAAAATTCCTTAATAATGGTTAACACTCCACCAACAATAAAAATGAGGAAACATCTTATCTATTAAAATTTAAAATCTTACATAATTGATCCCACTTCTTATTTTGTACACTTAAAAGGTTAAATTTTTTACGTTGTACCCTTAATATATCAAAAATGTTATAATGTAGTCATTTTGTTAACTTCCATTATTTTTTCCGTTTAAAGCCACCCATTAATACTGATGAAAAAATTAACGGAAAACTAACAAAAAGACCATATATTACAATATTTTTGATACATTAAGTGTGTAATATGAAAATTTTAGTCTTGAGGGTATAAAATAAAAAATTTAAAATCTTGCAAGATAGAGAATACAATTTTGATTCTATTAAGACTTTCTCAATAAAGGGCTTATGGGACCGCTCCTTGTCAATAATTCATAAATCGAATAGAAAGATGTTTGAAAATATCATGAGGATCCATGGGTTCCTTTTTCACAAATGCTTTTTCCATATACCATTGTGCGTTTCGTGCCTCCTTGGGGCTCCACAATGTCTGATTTAGATACCACCAAGGAGGTGGTCCAGTAGCGTACGAACTGAATTTGTTAATTAAAATTAGTGGTTTGAATCTTAGTGCCTATCTTGAAGTTTGCTAGTGAATAGTTATGCTAGTTTAGTTAATTTGTTCTTAAGAAGAGTAACGGATACTGTTAGAAGTCTCATAATTAAACCAATAAAAGTCTATCGAGGTGATTTCTGAATACCCTCCTTTGCCCCCCACCTTTTTTATTAGCAAAAATAAAAAGTCTGATTTAGATTCTCTCTCTCCAAATCCATAAGATTTGAAAATCACTTACCATAAGTATTTAATTATTCAGAAGTGGGATGAGGGGTCCAATTATGACAAATGCTTTTTCCTAAAGTCACCGAAAGTGGGGTGCTTGCTTTTAAACAAAGTGTGGGCCACAACTACGACGAATTCACTTAATCATAGTTTGTTCACGGGAGAAGTCTACTGTACCCAAAAAAAAAAAAATACTGGATTTTATAAATTTTGAGAGTTATTTATAATTTTTAAGGGTCATTTGTAATTGTTGGGATGACACATTTTAGGACTGTTCTCGACCCTAGCCATAGGGCTATTCGACCTTACAACTGACCGTCACCCTCTCACCTTCATCTACCATTATTCTAAGTTAATCAATTTTGAACAGTATTGTGGTATTTGTAGAATCTCCATTTTTACCAAGTATTGGACTTATTGTTGTGCCCGGTGTAGATATTTTATTCATGTGAGATGTTCAATTACGACTTTGGAGTCTTTGATGTGAGTTTACTCATTGTGTTGTTCAATTCTGTCACTGTTTCTACTAAAATATTTGTAGTGATTTTTTTTTTGTTAAGTAAATGTTTTGTTTGGAATTTTGTGATTTCAAAGGTGGTGAAAGTGAGAATAAAGTTTGATCAATTAACTGACCTTAATTCGGCTACGGTTACTACAACAAAAATCTTTTAATAAAAAATGATATTTCAATTGAATTTTTTTACCTTTTTCTCCAATATTACCTGTGTTCAATAACAAACTAACACAATTAACATATTTCACATCTTTTTTAATTCAACAACGAAACCAAACTAACATCAAATACCATACTAACAAAAACATAAAATATAATACTTATATTAAAAGTTATACAAATCATCAAAATATCCAACAACATAATCTACATACAAATTTCCCAAAATATTTTAATACATAACCAAAAGATAATTTGTAAGTCACTTTAATGTAGAAGTCCAGAATTCATCTGTTACAAAAAAGAAAAAAAAATACAGCATGGGCGACTTTGATAGCATCCTCTGTAGCAGCAATATCAAAAGTAAGAAGGCTTTGATGCTCATAAGGTTTTAGAATGGTTGGTCGGTTGAAGTAGATTCCCAAAGGATAAAAAATTCGCTAAAATTGATAATATAGTTGAAGATCAATAGAAAGCATAGCATTTTTTAACTCATTGCTTCAAAGGCAACTGGATCATTGTCTGCATACTGTCCCATCTTGCCCTGAAAAATGAGATTGTAAACTAAAGTCACAAGAGATATAATACATTTCATAGTGCTTAATAGAGGGAGAAGGAAGAGTATATGACCCAAACCTTTAGCTCATTATACTTTTGTTCAATAGCCTTAAGGTCATCTAGTGCCTCCTCTTGTTCATCCTGGCACAATTATGGTAGTCAGATATGGAGAAGGCCCAATACTTCATCCTTACAAATAACCCATAGCTTTACATGAAGGAAGGTATGGAACTCTATGTACTTACAGATTCCTCTCGCCCCTTCTTTAAAGCATCAGACTCTTCAACAAGTTCTACAAGCCTCTTCTTACTGCTTTGTAGATCAGATTCAGGTTTTCGATAAACATTCCTCGGCTGTAAAATGAAGTATGTCAATGCTTAAAGAACATAGACACGAAACCACTCCCACATAATTCAGGGTAGGAAGCGAAACATCTACATTACATGGTTTCCAGCGCAGCTAGGAAGACTCCAAAAGTAAACCTGAATTTTCACCAATTATTAGTGCTATTAGACTCTAAATATGAAAATGGGTGGAGTTTGCGAAATTCACACGTGCAAGCAAAACATTTCATGTTGCAGAGTTTCAAAAAAAGACATCTTATTCCTATATGTTACACCATTGGACAAGTTTTACTCATAGAAGTTCCAGCCACTATGCTCCCCAAGAACACATTCACCAGCATAAAGTAGTAGTATTTTGCTACTGCCTTCCGTTCTAGTACTGATAATGCTACATAACCCTCAACCTTCGACAAAATCAACAAAATCGTAGGAAGAATGTATAAGAAAATTTTGAGAGCTAGATTAGGAAGGAACCCCTGTAGGAATGACATGATGAATTTCCTGCATCACATTGCCAGAATTCTTTTTAAAGATGGCCATTGGTTTAGAAAGTAACAAACGGACTGTACATGCATTGTATTTGCAAATCAAGCAACTATAACAGTTAGGAGAGATGTAGAGAGGGCAAGATATAGCTTTTAATTCAAACAGGAGCTTATTGGTGTGTTGTGAAGTTTGTAGGCTTTTGCTGAATCCTTTCCAAAACATGGTAGAGAGACAGACTTGAATTCTTAGCCGGAAAATAACAATACACTCCAAATATAGAAGCAGCATTTTTAACACAAACGTAATGATCTCAGGAAGTAATGAATAGTGTGCAAGTATTGTATTTGAGAATCAAGAGATTCTAGCAATCAAGAAATGCAGAGAACACAAAATTAGCCATGTCCTAAAAATAGGAATCTGGTAGAGACGCTTCAATATTTATTTTATAAATCAACTGTACCTATAAAACTGGAAGAATCATTTTTGAACACAACCATAAGGATGTCAGGTGAACACAATATATGAACATATGCATCAACAGTAATAGACATAGATTGCATAGGAGAAATGTTAATAAAAAAAACAGCAATGCATGTTCACTTTTTATAATAAATTTGTGAAGAACAAAGAGAAGAAGAAGTTACATGCTAATAAAATCTTGCTTTCTTACAAACATTCTTTTGAATGAAAGACATGTTGGGAAAGCAATGTTATAATTCTCTTTTACTTGACTCAGTTCTCTTGAGAATCAATTTCCTTCCCAAGATCAACAACCAAAAGGAGGTAGTGAAACGATTATCGACTGGCCACAGCGCAGACACATTACAGCTGATGCCTCCTCTCAGCTCTCTTCCTACACATTCTTTTTATTTCAAGTGGTTCAAAAGAGAAGAAAAGAAAAAGTACTCGTTGATCGGGGTTCACCGGTTGAGGAATTGAAATCATAGATGGACTGAAGCTAAAAACTACAATAGCAGACTAGTCTAATCAAATAAAAGAGTTGAAGGACATTGGGTTGTGCTTTGGGAATTCTGCTACTTTACAAGGGTTTGAACATATTCCTACATTGAGTTATGTAGATTCCTTTTCTGAAACTTGAGTCTCATGCTCGTTGAGCCTTTTATATTGAGAAATTGGTTGTTTCACACCACTTGTCCAAGTATTTTAATTTGTTGTTTATAGAAGTCGATAGAATCAACTCTTTCACCCCAAAGCCCAAGAAAGCCTTTTTGAACATGGAGACAATTCCAAAGGATTAAAAGGGAATATTCTGCTGCATCTTGAGTGGCTTATGAAAAGGTTCATGCGTGGGTGTCATCGATATATCTTGTTTGTATAATTTCAGTGCATAAAAGAAGCTACCTTTTTTGTGGGCCTTTTGTCTGAATGTCTTTCTAACTAAAATTGAAAGTAATTCTAACTTAAAATTGAAAGTAAGGTACCAAAATCATTACTTGGGTCCCGTAATCAAGTCCTGTTTTCGCAGGGCCACATCTTTTTTACAAAGCAATTATTGAGCAGCACTGTATAGATGGCTTCTCCCCATGTCTAACTCTTTACTCAAATTTGGGCACGTGGTAGCCTTATCATCTCATTCCCATAGTTCTTATCTGTAATGTTGTTTTCCAAGGTGCAAAATGTTGCATTATTTGTGTCCTCTCTTCTGACTCTTTTTCTCTCTCTCCGTCTGAACAACTAGAGGGAAGAACGTATTGTGGAGGAAACCACCTTCCTCGTCTGTAA